CGTTTGTGATTTGCCTCAGTGCAAAAATGAGGAAACAGCAAATGAAGCAGCCACGGACCACGAGAAGAGACAGACCTCTGGATCTCAAGCACGTGCCACCAGCACTGCTGGGGAACCCTGTTGGGCATTGGTTCCCACAGACACAGAGCTGAAAGAGGGAAGTTGTGACCCTTCCCCTGCTGCACCCAAAATTAGGGTCTCCTGCCGTGAAAAGCCAGGAAGGGCAGCTCAATATATGAGCAAGCTGGCTGGAAATGGATGCTGCTGTCGGCGCAGAAAGCAATTGTATTTGAGGGATTGCTGGCCGGGTCAGGATGGGGTATGTCCCCCTAGGGCTGTTTCCTCCAGGGCAGAAGGAGGCTGTGGGCTGCTGAGAAGGGTCCTGAGCCTTCCATCACACTGATATCTCCTAAAGCAGGTCGCAGCCCCAGGATGACGGGGGCTGGAGGATGGTCTGCAGCAGAGGTGTCTGGCAGGAAGGTGCTCAGTGGGCAGAGCCCAGCATCTCCTTATGCAACATGGTGCCAATCCATGCCTCAGTTTCCCCTTCTAGTAGGAGGCTCAGCAGCAGATTTAAACAGCCTAAAAGCAACATTTTCCCATGGGAACTTTTGCCTGGCAGCGAGGAGGGCAGGGGAGGGGAGCCCGGCCACAGTGCTTGCAGGGGTCTGCTGGTGCTCTGATGGGAGCAGGCTGCTGGGGACTGAAGGGACCAAGCTATTTCCAAATAAACCTGGAAAACCTGGACAACCCTTGGCACACATCCCCATGGGAGCATCACTGAGGATGGACTTGGGTGTGGGTGACCAACACACATAGATCCAGAGCCACAAGCATGAGTGACTCTTGGTTGTGGGACCAACTCATCGCTGCTCCTTGCAGATGCCCATCTCCAGCACGTTGTGTGATGCACACACCTCTGCTGCGTTCGGCATGGCCCTGGGGCTCGTGGAGGAACAGCCAGAAAAGCCTTTTCTCCAGTGCTGGACAGACAGGCTCTTTGACAGGATCAAGGGGAGCTGCGCTTGTGTCTCTGATCTTTAGATTTCCTCCAAACTGGAAAAATACAGCCCTTTGAAAATTTCATGAAGGTGGCAGAGAGCTGCCTGTCTCTCATCACCACACGCTTTTGAAAGCCATTTAAGTGTGACTGCAGTGACAAATGTCAGCGGGAAGCTCGCGCTGGGGGGAGAGCAGCGGGCAAGAGGGCACTGGAATTAAAGGATGAAATATTTATTTGAGGGTTTGGCAGCACTGGAAGGACGACACATCACAGGCGAGAGGCATCTTGGAGCAGACGGCACTGAAAGCCACAAATGAACCCATCGGGCTATAAACTGCCACGAGATGTCCTCTTCCTCCCCACCTCCCACTCCTTCCAGGTTCGTTGCCAGCCTGGGAAGGTACAGAGAGGGTTAAACATCCAGGAATGGCCCAAAGCTGTGGACAACCAGACAGAAATGCAGTGTCTGAGCCAGGATGGAGGAAGGGGAATGATAGTCCCGACTTGGCTTTAAAAACAAGCTATAAATCCTCCAACTGATGGACAGTACATTGTGCCCATGGCAGCGGAGCAGGAATTGGGAGGTCCTGGCTCTGGCAATGAAGTTGTTTGCCCAGGACAGCCCAGATGGAAGGTGGGATGAAAGCTCAGATCCTCCACAGAGGGTCAGGACCACGAGCTTTCCTCTCCCTCTCTTGGTTCAGGCTCCAGATAGCAGGTTTTCTCCTTTGCCAGCTCTCAGTGTGCTGGGGAAGTAGTGCAGGGCAGTCAGGACACCCGAGCTTCAACCCCAGGTGGTAGGGCTGAGGCTGGGGAGCAACTCCAGGGCTGGAGGCAACCTGTGTGGTGGGTTGCATGTGTTAATCAAATAAAGAAGCTAAATTAAACTCCACTTCTGTGTGCCAGAGATGCTCCTGTGAGTCTGCCTTGCTCCCAGCCCAGGATGCCCTGCAGCTCCATGAGGTCCCATCCTTGGGGTCCCACTTTGCCTCTCCCAGCCCCAAGAGGGGCCAGGATAACATCAAGGGTTAATGCAGGATTACCTCAAGAGGCTACAGCCTCATCAAGAGCATGGGATTGGCAGGTCATTAATCTCGGAATTACTTGACAACTTGAAATACAATCATGTAATCAGCAGGAACCTGTAATTATTATTTATGTGCATGGTGCTTACCAAATTACAGTGCTCTCCAAGGCTCTGTGTGATGAGCAAATTAATTCTGCAACGGAAGAACTTGACCAGAAAGAGATGTTTGTGTCTGAATTTCACTTGTAAACATTGATGTATGAAATGAAATTCGGTTTTAATTGGCCCTGCCTCCTGCTGCGAAGCACTTACGTTTTTATTCTGTCTTAGCTCAGCTGGCGAGAGGGAACATGACAGAAAACTTGGAGGAGTTTCTCTAGCCCTGATGGTACTTGCATGGGAGACCCACACAGAGTGCTCCTCACCCCTCCTTAGATGAGAGAGATGGTGTTGATACCTTCATGGGGAACCTGTATCCCAGCTCCATGCTATATGTGTGTGGGTTTGGGGTAGAGAGGAGATAAAAAAGCCGCTGGCTGCCCCAGGTGCCTCTGCGGCCAGTGGGATGCTGAGCCCACTGCAGCACCAGGATGCTCCTATGGAAAGCGGGGAGGGGCCATGCTGGGGTTGTCTTTTCCAAAATATAAACATGCCCCAAAAGTCCTTGTGAGACGAATTGAAGTAATTTTAATCAAACAAGGCTGAGAATACACACACCTCTCCAGCTACGGAAAGCAAAGTCATGTCAGTTGGAGTAGACCACCAAGAGGAGAAGGAAAAAACAGTGATGCAAACACAGATGCTTCTGTTTGGGTTTCTTTCTTTGGTTTTTCAATTTCCATCTTCTTTTCCACCAAAAATGACCCCACTTTAGAAAATCCAAATTGAACATGTAGCGCATCACTTTTTGGTAACATTACTTGTATGTGCAACGAAAAAGCTCCCTGGGGCATTTCCCCTTGTCTGTAGCTGGCAGAACTTTATTAGCTCCTGCCAAAGCAGCCGGCAGAGAAATCAAACTGTCCAAGGGTCCGGACAGAGCAAGTCTATTCCTTGCAGGGCATCAGCCCCTTCCGAAAACAGCCATAAAGCTGGGAGCTGCCAGTTTTCCCATTGTATTAACTCTGGGGGTCTTTCTCTTACCCATATATTGGATAAGGGGCAGTTTCTGGGGCTGTTGGTGAAGGACGAGCTTGTACAAGGACCAAAATCTGCCCCATGTGCAGGGCATGGTCCTCGTTGTGGTCACTCCATCATACTGGGAGCTGTCGCTGCTCCCAGCACATTATTGGAGGCAATGGGGTAATTCTGGTTTTAGCTGCACAGTGGACATGCAGGTAGGAAATCTCAATGGGAGGGAAATGGGAGGAATTTGCTTCAAATTATTTAACTTCTTGAATGTTTAAAGAAAGCACCTGGAGGTTTTAGCCTATGCCTAGCTTTAAAGTAAAAAAAAGAAAGACTTTATTCCTTTCTGGTGGCGTATCCTGAGGAAATCACAGAGTACTATGAAGATGCTTAAACTTCCCCAGGTTGGGAAATACTTATGCTTGTTGTCTATAGTGGGGAAACTGAGGCGTGGAAGTGCAAAGGGACTCATACTAGACCCAGTGCAGGGCCCCAGTGGCAAAATCCCTGGGATGCAGAGAGAAGATTTGGCCTGTAACCCCTCTGGCATCCTCCCTCTGTCCAAGCATCCCCAGATCTCATATGGAGTGGGGAAAACGTGGCTCTAAGTAGGTCAGGGCAAAACCCTCCACATTGCACAGAGCTCTCTGCTCAGCTGCTTTTGGTGACCACATGAAACAGGACATCAGGAGTGGATTGGAGACTTGGCAGGACCTGGGAGCTGCATGGTAGATGGTCTGTGGTCCCCAGCATGGGGAGGGAGGCTGCCGCTCCTCCAAGGCACTTAACCCAGCATGGGAATGATTTGGCCCTTTCCCCTGCGTAAGAGCAAGGAGCAGCTTTGGCACCAAGCCCATCTGCATGGGTAAAAGCAGGGCAGGGAGGAAGGGAAGCAAAGCCACAGCATGTCCCCACGGTAGCTGCCTTTAGAGAGCTGGGCCACTGCTTTGCTGCAGCTCTCCCTTGCCTTTCCATCCCCAAGCAGGGGCACGGAGCCAGCCTGAGGTCCAGGGGCTTTGCAAAGACCTGTAGACCCATCTGGGCTGTGCCAGACCACAGGATTAACTAAACCTCATGCCTTCCTTCAGACCAAGCCTCTTCCATGTGGCTGTTCAGAGCCCCTGGGACCCATCCTCATCCCCTGCATGGTTCCCTGCCCTCTCCCACCCCATTGCTCTGCCTCACATCCTCAGTGTCAAGATGAGAAATGAGCAGGTCGGACCAAGCAGCAGTTACAGGATCTCCTGGGGACCTGACGAGGGGCAGGGGAAGGGCTCCAATAACCCCAGTGGTACAAAACCACAGCCATATAAAGCAATGTCTGCAATCAGTCCAGGGCTCTCAATCCATCCCCCATCAACCCAGAGGGCTTTGGCCCCCCCAAAGAGTTTTGCTCCCCCCCCAGCAGCATCCCAGCATGCACTCACTGGAAGGCTGACCCTGCTTCCCAAGGGATTAGCCCCATAAGACATCCCAGCAATGTCCTGGTGTCCTGTCACCTCAAAGCAGTGACAAACTTGAGAGAGGCAGCAATGGGACATGGGGCATCGTGCCCAGGATAGAGGCGGGCAGGGAGGCTGCTGCAACCTCCCTGGGCTCCTCTGGCTCCTTCTGCCACCCCAGCAGGTCACGCCGCTGCCAGGGAGATGACAAAGCAGCATCTCAGCTGTCCTGTCCTACAGATCTGCCCCAGTAAAAGTGGGACAGGAGCTTCTGTAGGGTTTCCCATAGATGCGGCAAGTTTGTGCATCCTCTGTGAGACTGGTGGGTGCGGGCAGGACCTGGCTCCTGTGCTGTGACATGTCAGGGGTCCCACGCAGTGGGGATGCTGGCTCCCCTATCCCGTACGGCAGCTCACTCCTGGCTCAGACAGCTGTGGACTGCTTGATGCTGTGGAAGCTAACGCGGGTTGGGGAGGTGGGGATGGACATGGCCCGAGCCACACGGGCGCGGATGGAGTGCTTGTCCTGCCATCGGTGCCACCGCTTCCGCACGGCCGATCGGACCTGGGGGTGTGAGAGAGAGAAGGGCACATTCAGTCACTATGTGGCTGTCCAAAGTTGTCCAAAGGCATCAGCCATCCTCATCCTCAGTCTTTCAACCAAAAATGCCACCAAAACCCTGCTCAGCTCTCCACGCCAGGGAGGGTCCTGGGAGCTCCTGTCACCTCCTAGGGCACCCAGCCTTGTTTGATGTGATGCCAGTGAAATGCAGCCCTTGCAGCTGTGAAGAGAGGTGAACTTGGCTGATGGTGCCTCTGAGCACAAAATGGAAACAAGAGGGAGAAATAAATCTGAACAGGGACTCTGCAGGAGAGCCAGCATCTCACACGCTGCATTGGATGCTGCAAGGGGCTGGGAGGGACGCAGGACACAGTTGGGGAGGTTTTATGGATTGACTGGTTCATGTTAGTGGCATTTCTTTCACATTAATTCCACCCAAGTGCTTTGTGTGACAGGTAAACAGTGAAGGAATGCCTTTTCATTAACTGCAGTGTGGGAAAGCCCTGGGAAAAGGGCATTGGATGCAGGCTCCTGAGACTGTGCAGTTGGGTGAACACCAAAATCCTCAGCCAGCCCAGCTGGGATTGAGAGATGAAGGACCATGAATTGTATGGTATGATATGCTCCTGGTTCACCAGCTAGCCCTGGTCTAGTCCCTTTTCCTCCTGCATCAATTATTTACGATTTGGTAATGAAGCAAGCTTGTCTGGGGCACTTTCCAGAGCCAGTAAAGGTGCAAGAGCATTTGGGAGGAGGCAGAGGAAAGAGTTGCCCAAATGATTAGCTCCAGGATCAGCCTCTGCTCCCACCTCCTTTGCTTTCTGCTGTCTGTGGTTTGGGTCAGAGCCCGGGAGGTGCCCCTGTCCACGTGCTGGGTACCCACGTGTGTATGGGGATCACCCTGGGGAAGGATTTCCCAAGGATGGGGGGACTCTAGGTTCTTCTGCTGCACCAAATCACATGAGTGCATCCAAAGAGCATCTGCTCTCAGGGGTGGATTTTCCTCCTGTCCCTCTGGACACTACCTGTGGCTGCAGATGTGTCTGTAGCTGGAGGTAATGCACTGACTGATACGGCAAATGTCTTCAGCTGGGAATTGGGTGCCAGCACCCTCTGAGCTCTGTGCAGGGGCAGAGCCTTGGGCTGAGCTTGCATCTGCTTGCAAGAAAGGGTGTAGACCCACCCCACCCTAACCCCTGCTGCTCACCTCGCTGTTCAGGAAGCAGTAGAAGACAGAGACGAAGAAGCCCTGGAAGGAGACAAGCAGCAGAGTCATGGCCAGCAGCCATCCCCAGGCTCAGGAGCTTTGGAGCTCCCCTGGGGTTTGGGTGGGAGGGGGCAGGAGCAGGGCGAAGCATCGACCACAGCATGGGCTCCTCCACATCCCTTGGTGGGGGAATGGGATGGAAGCTAGTGCTGAGGACCATACCTGGAAGGACTCCAGAAAGGAATTGAAGTAGATGAAGACGATCCTGGAGATCTCATCCTCCCCCGGGTTGACAAAGAACAGCATATAGGTGATTCCCAGCAAGGGCAGCAGCACCAGTGTGGCCTTGACTGCTTTTCTGGGGAAAAAACATGGACCTGAGATGCTGCAGTGCAGCCCTGGGCAAGGGGACTCTCCCCATCCCACTCCCAGCACCAGACTGGTCCATCTGGGTCCAGGCAAACCAGTGACCAGGGGAGGATGGAGCAGAGCTGGGCTGTTTTCTAATGTGATCCCCAAGTGAGCGGGCTGGTTTGAGCACTGGGCACCTTCTGTGGTTTCTCCATCCAGAAAAGGGCGGTGGATAGTGGAGGCCTGACCTTGAGCTGGCGTGAAATGATTGCTTGGCTGATCTAGAGCTCAATTAAAAAGGAATTAAGGAGGATAAAATAATTCACACCCTTCAACATGGGTTTATGAAAAACTTATCTCAGCTAATTAATTTGATATCTTTTCTTGATGAGATTACAAGTGCAGTTTGTGAAAAGTAATAGTGCTGACACAAGAGAGTGCAGGAATGATTGGGGCTTGGCATCTCATTTGTTTGGATTAGGGGACAAGAACGATGCCAAGTAAACACTTTTTTGCTTAAACATCCTGTTAATGGACAGATTCCAACATTAGCTGAACACAGTAAAAGTCATCCCTGGCAGTCTGGGCTGGTCAGGGATGGGGCCTGGGACTGTGCTGCATTGGTGACCTGGAGGAGAGCCACAGCCACTGACACAAACTGGCAGATGGCACAGAGGAACTGGAAATAATGAGAACATGAGAATCTTCAGGTTGGCAAACCAGGGGACAGCATGTGTACTGGTGGAGCTTTTCCAGGGGAGCAGCCATGGTAGCAGGGGATACATCAGCTTTTTACCAAAAGCCATCATCTAAGGTAAGCGGGAGCCCTCCAGGGCTGTCTCTTGCCTGGTTTAAGCAGCACTACACAGTTTATAACCTACCAAAGTCTCCAAGTTATCCTATCCCACAAAAATAGGAAATTTTCATTTCTGGGAAGCATGTTCTACTGCCCAAAGGTGAAAAACCTTCCCTGCCAAGATCAGGCAAATACTGGAAAACCAAAAGTCTTTCAAAATTGCTGACAGAGGCCAACCAGCCTATTTCAATAACCTTTATCTTTGCTCACCCCAAGCTGAATTTTTCATGCCAGCTCAATACTCTGTGATGAGGAAAGCTGGCATTTCCCAATGACAGCATCTGAATTTTTCCATTCTCAGCTGAAAAAGGCACCCTCCACCCCAAACCTGCTTCTCTTGACCCAGCACACAGTGAGATTCCCCAATTCATGCCCAGAAAATGATCCAGAGAGAAGCATTGATGAAGACTAAGGTGTCTTCTCCTGTTCCAGGTACTTTGGAGAGCTGCTCTGACCATGCACCTCCCAAGTTGTCTGCAAAATATTCCCCAGCAGGGAAGGGTTAAATCTTCCTGTCGCATGCTGCCGAGAGTGCTGCCTTCTCCTTGCAGCTTAGTGAAGAGGTGTTTGGGGTGGCATCGATTCATTACTCCTTCCTCGGCCTTTGCTTTGCTGCCAAGTGGTGATTTAATTCTCACCTCCGTTCCAGGATTTGCAGCTCTGAGTCCAGTGAGCTGATCAGGTCCCACCACAAAAGCTTTTGCAGATACTCATCTCCCAGTAGCTCCCTTTGAAGGCAGATCCAGCCGTCCATGTTCTCCACCACAAAGCTCTCACTGGCCAGAATTTTTGAACAACACCGGATGTGCACCAACACTGCCATGTGCATCCAAAAAACATTTGAGGTGCTCTTGGAAGTCTCTCCATGCTCCCATCCCCTTGGTACTTGGCTGATGGGGCTGTTCCTGCCCCCCCCAATCATGCTAATGCAGTTTCTGGGTCTGCTTTCTGCAGGGCTGCTCACGCTCTTACCTGTACTGGATTGTCTCCGATGTGGTCGAAGCTCGGAGCTTCGTCATGAGGATTCGGACGATGTTGAACAGAAAGATGAAGTTGATCTGGAAAGAAGAGGCGACCTTGTTAGTGTCTGCTCCCCAACATTTCCTCCCATTTCTGCAGTGGAGGCAATGGACTGTTCCAGGGGAAATCGGAATGTTTCCTCTTGAACCTGATCTACTGCCTTCCATGCACTGGAACAGGACATATGCATTTATTGTTTTTAAAGCACTTTAGCAATAAGATTTAAAAGTTTGTTTAAGGGAGCGGGGCAGCAGGGCACACCAGGAGATGGGTGATGAAGGGCAGGCATTGGAGAAAGGGGTAAAGGAAAAAAAGGCAGGTGGGGAATAGGAACAGAAAGCGGCTGAAAGGATTTTGGGAGAGTGGCTGCCATCACAGCAAGGAACTGCTTGGCTGTTCTCCCGGCCACCAAACCACTAACAAGGGCACGGGAAGGCAGCACTGGGAGCTGAGCACAAATTGACACAAATTAGAAGTAGCCTGGCTACCTGATGGGCTGGGAAATGAGAAGCAGGTTCAATTATTCAGCAAGGCCAGTTTGTGCTGGTAATTAGTACTCCCTCGGGTTTTCTCAACGTTGGGTGAAGAGGGAGGAAAAGCTGTGGGACCCTGTGTACAGTTTTGCCCCTAAAAACATAGGTTGGACCCTGGCACTGCTGTTTGTGACTTGACATCTCTGCCCCTCTTTGTCCCTTCCCAAAAGGGAATATTTAGCAAGCGAGGTCACTTTGCTCTTACCAGAAGCACCAGGATCATGGGACCTTGGTAAATGTAATCAGTATAAACTCCTGCTCGCTTCCCAAACCAGCACCTGCAAGGCAAGGACAAGTGGTGTTGGGGACAAGCCTGCAGTGTGAGTGACCTGGATTTACTCCTGTCCTTGCACAATCTCTGTAAGTCACGGTCCATAGGGTGAAAGCAGTACAACTTAAACTGCTGTAACCACTGTGGAATAGATTCCCCAGGAACCCGGTATGTGGAGGTGCATGGGGGTTTATGGGCCCTGTATAGATGGGGGAACAGGTTATTGTAGGATGAGCAGGGACAACCTTAAACACACACAGGTCTGGGTTGGCTCTGTCCCCAGCAAACCCTGTGGGAGCTCACGCAGGTGTATGCGTGTCCTGGGAGCACCTTGTTGAGTTTTGTTAAATCAGTGCTGTGCCTGCGTGTGTAGCACCGGGCTGCTGAAGTCAGGGGGCAAAACTAGCACTGAAAAACAAGACAAGCTGCCATTCATCTAAATAGGCTCTTTTTAACTTCATTGTTGGTGTGATGAACTCGCGGGTGCCTGTTAAGTCCTTCATTAGCAAGTCTCTGTGAAAATGGCTCAGGTGGTGGTAGTTTATATCTCTGCTGGTAGATTAAATCCCAGCTCCATTTAGCAAACACGTTGTAGGAGCTCTGGCTTGATCTTGCTTTTTTCCCCCCCTTAAAAATCTCATTTGCCCTGTGAAGAGAACAATGCAGCGGCAGGTGACTGCAGGCAGGGCTCGTGCAGCAGAGAGCACAGAAGTGGGATAAAAGAAAGAACAGAAGAATATTATCTTTTTTTTCCTCCCACCCATTCCATGTACCCTGCCTTGTGTCAGCCCTTCCAGGCAGGATCCGTGCCTGCCTCTGTGCAGAGCCCCTGGCACAACTGGTCTCTGGGGAACTGGGCAGAAAGAACAGGGAATGACAGCAGTCAGACTCACTTCTCATTGTCGTAGTACAGCTTCCCGATGGCCCAGGCGACGATGATGGGAAAGGGAATACCTGCAGATGAACGCACAGATGAGTCTCAGGGCTGCAATGTTGCCACCGAATTATGCTGTAACAGGGATCTTCTCACACAGGGTAAACCACCAGGTGAGCTGCAAAACCCATCCTCCTGCTCCTGGCAGCCTTTTTCCAGCTATTTGGGTACAAGAAGAGCTGGAGCAGAGGATGGAGGTGGGCATCACACATCACTAAAACCCCAGGTACCCGTTGGGTGAAGGGGAAATACTGGTACTTACACCAGCCAATGCAGATGAACATCCACTTGCGGAGCTTGTCTGTGGAGTAGGTAAGCACGATAGCTGTGTGCAAGTAGCAGCCCTCGCCAAACATCCAGAAAAAGTTGGTGACATGGAAGTAATTATAGGCAGCAGTGACCAAGCGGCACCAGACCTGCCGAGCACATTAACAGGAGACATGGAGGGTGAAGAGCAGAGCTCTGCGTTAGTGGTGAAACTGATGCACAGACCAACACATACCCCAGCAGAACAATTGAACCCATGTTTCTCTTAAGCCTGGGTTGTCCACCAACCACCAGACAGTCCTATTTAGGCCCTCAAGCTGCTTTTGTAGCCTCATATCTAGAATTCTCAAACTCCATGCACACCCCAGCAGCTCAGGGCTGGGCTCAGGCCAGCTGCCTGGCAGAGCAGCACCTACCACATTGCTCTCGTGCACCTCTGGGTTCATCGTGAGCTGCACCACAAACCATGTGGCATTGCGTAGGATGAAGGCTGTGATCAGGTTCCAGTGGATGATGTTCCTCAGGCACCGGATGCTCCTGGAGAAGAGGGGACAAGGGACCATCAGAGCGTGGTGGGTGTCTGGGGGCTGGCCACATACGGGCTGGGGGACAGGGCTGTTTGTGGAGCTGAATGTCTTTGTTGGGATCCCAAAGGTGAGCTGCTGGGGCCATGCGCTGGGTGAGGTGGGCAGGACCAGGGCCAGGAGGTGGAAGGCATTGAGGAGGACCCTCTGCCTCCATAACCCACTGCTTTAAAAAAGCAGTAGGAGGGAAATAACCCTGAGATAGGCATGATCCCTCCAGACTGGAGAGCAATGGCCATAGGGAGGATATGGCAAAACCCAGGGGCTGAGTATGTCCCCAGCCTGACGGCCATGGGGTGACCTCCCTGGGCTCGTCCCCGGCAGGAGCACAGCAGTGGTCAGGTCACTCACCGCAGACGCATGAAGAGGACGAAGGCCACGAGGAGGGCCCCCAGTGAGACACAGTGCCCCAGGTAGTTGATGATGACAGCAATGTGGTAGTGCAGCTTGCTCTTTTTCTGGGGGAGGGGGGAAGATGGGAGGGGGTCAGCAGCAGCCCCAAGTACCACCTCAAACCCACCTCCTCCACCATATCACCTCTGAGAGCTGCATCACAACTTCTGGGCCCTTTTTCAGAAAGCAACTGGAACCCAGCTGGTGCAGGACAGTGGAGATGGGGCTGGAAGGGGACACGGCTGGTCAGATGGGGCTAATGTGGACAGGAGAGGCACCAAGCTGGCCCTGCAAAGGGCTCAGGCATTTCACATCCTACCCATGCCAGGGCAGCTCACAGTCACTGCTCCTACATCACCCCTGCCCAGCACTGGGACATCTTCACCCCATCCTCTACAGGAGGAAGTCCTCCTGTAATCCAGCTGAGCTCACTGACAACGTGACATCTGATGTCTCAGTTCATTCCCCATTGCCCTGGGGGCAGCTGAGAGGCTGGGATGAATTTGGGCAGAGGGAGCAGGGAATCTCAGGAAGGTGTGAGTGATAATTAAATTAATTGATTGCTCCTGCTGTTAGGCACACATCCAACCTGTGAATTAGCAATTAACTGAGTGAGAAAACCATTCCTGGCAAGAGATATCAGCATCTTAAATACCAGAGGTGGTTATCAACTGCAAATGAACAGCCTGTATCTCTTCTCCTCTGCTCTGAGGGCTGGGTTGACCTACTCAGGGGCTTGTAATTCTTGGTGCCTATTTTTTTTATCTCTTTCAGCTTCCTAAACATCTCCTTTATTTCATTGCCAGCGGGGAGGGATGGGGTTCACACTGAGTGCTTGTGTCAAGAGGGAGATGGAGGAGGGTGATGGGGCTGGAGGGCGTGCTGATCTGCACCCAGTGGCCCTGCCGCCAGGAGACCTCACACTGCAAATCCTCTTGGATTTTTAACAGGGAAGGAAACAGGCGTGGCTTTATTTTTGGCAGGGAATGAAAATACAAATCAAGAAGGGGGTCATATATGCTGCATGCAAACCTTACATCTGGGATGCAGCTGCACACCCAGTGCACAGCTCCCTTGGGCCATTCCTGACCTGGATGCTGTTGCCCTTTGAAACTCCATTGTCTGTCCCTCACCCTCCTGCCAAGAGCTCAGCTGAGGGGCTACCAAGGTCCTACCTCTTCGCTGAGGATCTCCTGGCACTGGGAATAGTTGACCCGTGCCGCCCAGCTCCCGTTAGCGAGGCACTCCCTGTAGCCATTATCTGAAAGAGAGGGTGTGTGTCGAAGGGTTAATGGTGCACAGGGATGGGAACAAAGGTGCGTCCTGATGATCGTCACTAATGCAGGGGTCACTGGCATTGAACCCGTGGCATCATTTGCTTTGAAGCCAGCTCAAATGCTGTCTTGGTTGTGATTGCAGCATCAAAATCCTCAGGACATTTCAGACCCACTCAAGGGCTTTGGGTCTGCACCAGCTCTGCTCCTCCGTGCTGGGGGACCCCGATGCCTCCCACCACTGAGATGCAGTGGGAGCAGCGTGAGTTCGACTCTCCTTTCCCCTCCTCTGTGCTGTTTGCTCGAGCAACCATGCCATCCTGTGAGTGCTGCTGCAACCATAGTGTGAAGTTTTCGCTTCTCTCCCTGTATTAGGAGCTTTCTTTGCCTCCCAGCAAGGATGGCAAGCGGCAAGGCTAATTGGGAAGGAATGGCAACAACAGTCTTGGAGCAGCCTCCAAATAGCGTCAGCACCACGGCGATGCTGGGCTTCTGCTATTAACAAGAGAGACCGTGAGCCTCATCAGGGCGATGGGATGGGAAAGGGGTGGGAATGGCTCTTAGGCAGGCACAAGTATGGATTAATGCAAAGAGATTCTTGTAATGGCATGAGAGGCACCACAAAGCAGGAGCCGAACGCATGCAATCTTCTACTGCTGCAAAAATGCGTGGGATGGAAAAATTGATGTTTTCTGTGGGAAGCAAGATGTTTCTTTCATCAAAAGCAGCACTTGGGTGGTCAGAAACTCTACCGTGTGCTAGGAATGGCTTTGGGCGCTTTTCAAGTGTCTTCGCTTCATCCCCTGCTCCCAGCACGTCATTGGCAGTGACAATGCAGTCACCCGTGCCAGGAGGGGATGAGCCACAAGGTCCCCCACTCCTTGCTCAGCTCGGGGTTGAAAACCTCTGTGCCACCTCCCACAGCAGTGTCAGCCCTCTCCCCCTTCATGGGGGCATGTTCAGGAGGACCTGCTTATAAAGCTGCTGCTGTGAAACCACCCTCTCTGAAATCTGGGATACGAGGGCTTTTTTCTTTTTTGGTTGATGGATCCCACAGAGCCCCCAGTGAGCTCCGTACACAGACATGTATTGTCGTTCGTGCCTCTGCAGCCCCTGATGCACATTGCTCTCTGATCTCCCCCACCCCTCATCCATCATGTCCCCACCAGTGCTGCTCATCTTACTCGTGGTGTTGTACCGCACACCATAGAAATATTCGGGGCAGGGTCGAGCAACCAGCTGTCCCACTGCACTCCGGGGCCAACACGTGCCGATCAGGTCTACTGAGGCGTTGCAGTGGGGACCTATGGGGAAGAAGGGTAGAGAGTTAGTGGAGGACTGTGGGCCACCTCCAGGCTGTTAAAGTTCACGGTTTGCCCTGAGAACTGGGGCTGCAGTCCCAGGTGAGCTGATGGGTTGCTGCAAGCTCAGCCCCCAGAAGACCCTTGTGGTAGACACCAAATGGGATCTCTGCTAAGATTCCCCAAGGGCTTGTTGATCCACCCTGGCCATGACTATCACCCTGGTCCTGTCTGAGCACCTGGGTTAAGCCCAGTTCTGGCACAAGCCTGGTTTTCTGACCTAGCTTCCCAAGTCAGCTTGGGGTTCTCTGGCTCTCATCCTCCAGCCATGTTCCCTTCTTCAACCCTGCAACCAACAGCAATAAGCCAGATTTTCCCTTTCCCGGTAGTGATTCCAGGCTGGTGCTGGTGGGCTGCTTCTCAGAGCCCTTCCAACCCTCTCACACCTCCTGGCTGCAAGATCTCCTCCCTAGCCATTCCCATTGGTCTCTTCCAGCCTTTCCCAGGATGATTGCTCCAAGTCCGTTGCTGCTATTTCAGATTTCAAGCAGGACTTGTATGCTTTTCCCAGCTACACAAGTGTGCTAACGTAGGCATTAGGTAGGCCAGATTGCAGGCTTTTTAATGTATAATTTGTGTATATTTAGAACAACATGTACTGTAGCTAAATACGTCCTAGCTACAAAGTGAGGTAGGAAGCACAACGGCTGTAATATCCATATAATACAATCCTTGACAGGCAGCAGAAAGATGGGCAGCAGACCCTGGAAGGGGCAGAGTTCAGTGCAAACTGCTCCTGGGTACCAGAGATGTTTGTGCTGCCGGTGCAGAGACAGACATTGCCATTTACTTAAACAAAACACCCCAATTCACAGCTCTCTGGGTGTGAGAACACAGTGTTTCCTCTCCACCCAGACTCAATGTTGTTATTTGAATGGCTTTCCCAAAATTTCCTGTGGATAGAGCTGGCTAGAGAGCAACTGAATAGAAAAAGCAAAATACTGTGTTATTAATATGATGAAAGTTTCATGGGGGAATATTTGCTTTCATTGATTATCTGAAAAATTGAGTCCTTGGTTTCTTGGGATTTTCTCAGAGCAAATTTTACATGCAAAGAAAAGGACGGTTTTCTTCAAATATTTTTGCAAGGGAAAAAAACAAAACAAAACTTCCAAGCCTGTGAGCTGGGAAAGCATCAGAGCATGGTGAGCATTACTTTCTGCCTTCCATAGCTTGTAGTGAGAAATTAATTTTAACAGTGACCTTTGCTTTAAGCTTTGCTAATGTGTATGGTTGCTGCGGCAACATTCACTTTAAGTTAACTGTTTTAAACCTGTATTTCTTAGGAAACAAGGTGTGTTTAATCACGTGTAGTTTGCATGTCTGTGCTTATCTGCATCCATTAGCATTTGTTGAGCTCCTTAGTTGTTTTGACCTAAATTTGACAGAGAAATAGAGGGTCACAGCAAATGAAGTCCCTGTTTAAAATTTTATGATAATATTCATCCAGGTAGAGAAAAGACAACTGGTAATTGCTTCAACTAAGAACAAAGTTAAATCACAAGTGCTGTCTCTGTTAGTCACCTGGGAATCCACCCAGGTGAGAAGCCACATGAATATCTGTGATAGGAAAAGCTTTGCTTGGAGTAACCCAGCAGAGGAAAATGAGGTTTGCACAGTGCTAATGCCCAGAACAGCTCATGCAGTCATCGAAAACCCTCACTGTGACCGGTGGGGCTGGGCACAAACTCTGTTTCCTCCCCATCCTCAGTGCCTCAGTTTCCCTCCTGCATCCCAGGTGCTGTGCTGAGGCACATATGCAGACTGCTCAGGGAGGACAAGCAGGAAGACTCAGTAATTAAAAGTCAGCAGAGCCAAGGAGCGGCAGCAACAGTACTCTCTATCAGTAAAACAAAACCACAGCAATACCATTAATAAACTAAACCAAGATAGATTCATGGAAATGATGTGGTCAGACAAAAATGGCATCATTCTGTTATATGTCTGCTCAAGTACGGATTTAATACCTCCACATTTCTCCAAGGCACTCGATTTAATGCTACTTGGCACTCTCATTAAAGCAGTATGGCCCCCCAGCAGATGACAAACTGAGTGGATGGCTCTGCAGTCCCACTGTGGCAGGGATGCAGGGTGAAGGTGGAGCAGCATCACCAGGACCTCAGCCCCCTCCTCTTGCCATGGGTCGGGGTTGTGGTGTGGGGTGACATTGGGCTTGGGGGCTGCAGCTGGGTGAGCAGAGGTCAGACTCAACCAGGCTGTAGGATGTTCCTGGGACTTCATCCCCTGCATAGCATGCTTTGCTCCCTCACCTCTGTAGATGGCATTTTGAGGTCTGTCCAACCAGGTTTTAATCTAGTGGGTGGCTGTAACATTTTTCCAGGACTCATGTTGAGAAATGCTTGATGAAGAAAAGCTGCACAAAGCAGATGCTGCTCTTTCTGCTCTCTCCAGCATATAGGGAAGAAAAAACCCCCTCCTGCTAGGGAAGGGTTAAGTAAAACAGCGAAGGCAAAGAGTGCCGTGAGGGCTGCGACATCCCGTTTGCCCAGCACGACTGTCTGCTCCAGCTGCTCCCCAGCGGCATGCAGCTCCCAGCATTTAGAGCACTGTTTAGCATGGAAATTATATGTATCAGTGCTAAATGCTTTCATATCTGCTTTGCGGCCCATCCGTATTTGCAGGAGGATTATTCTCCCAGGTTCTGCAGATGCCTGCTCCAGCTTTCTCAGCATCGTTGGCTGCACAGACAGTTTTGGTCTTTGCAGCTTTACAGGAAGAAAGGTCAATGAATTTCCTACCTGCACCCAATCCCCCTGATTTGGCTCCCTCCCACATAGAAACACAGGATTTGGGGTAGGAAGGAGCCAGTCCTACTTTGAGATGGAGAATGTGGCCCAGGGGAAGTCACTCAAATTCCTTCTCACCCTATTTCCTTTGGGTTGTGCTGCTTTGAAGCAATATCATAGAATCATAGAATGGTTTGGGT